TTCAGTGATGGGCCTAATGAGTAAGTTTGCTAATTTAAATCTCTTGTTCATAAATTCAATATAATTGTTCAGATAATTATTTACGTAGTTCAAAAAATAAAATAAATCTTAATTTAATTTTGTTAATTTTTTTCGTTGTATTGACAGTGAATTGATGTACCATGATGGAGATAACAGTGTCAACAGGGAAGAAATCAAGACACTTGGAACAGATGAAGAGATCGATACAGCAGTTATTGATGCTTGGGCTCATATCTTGAACATCAAGGGTAAAAAAAATAGCATATACTTCTCCACAATACCATACGTAAGAAAATAAATTTTAAACATTTTCAAATAAAAATAAATAATTTTATATAACTTGTTCAATATATTTTTTTTAATGTTCATCATGTTTATAATAAATGTTCATTATTTTGAATTGTTAATTGCAGTTGATTGTATGCACAGACAAAGGTGCAAGTGCAAATACTACCACAGAAATAAGACATGAGAAGTTTGCTCAAAGATTGCGCTATGAAATGAATAATAGTGGAATTCAAAACATAAAATAATTTAGGGAATTCTTGTTTCCAATGGCTGCATATAAGCACTTCTACTTGATGTGTATTAACATGTACAAAGGTACAATTGATTTGATTGATAACAGAAAGCTTCCAATGAATGTGAAAGCATCTACAAAGTATGAAGATAATCCACAAAAGATGGTAAGTTACTAAATTATTAAGTTGTGTTCAGTAAATTGTATTCGGATGTTCATAAAATGGTGCTCAGGTGTTCAAATAATTTATCATTTTGTTTATCAGTTGGAGGCTTTTACATATTTCATGCGAACAAAAGATTATGCAAGAAGTGATGTTGCAAGAGTCTTAAGTTTCAAAACTGACTTGATCAAGATGAAATGGAGAAGCAATTTGGATCATAAGAATTGTGGTGTTTACGTGATGAAACATATGGAAACATACACAACAGAACCTTTGCTAGAATGGAAATGTGATTTAAAAGCAAATGATGTGAGTTTCAACAATAGTATTCATATTTTTTCTTTATTTGTTCAAAACATTTTACACTTTGTTCATAATTATATGTTTTCTTTACATGTTCAGGTTGATCAAATCAGAAAGCTTAGGGTGCAGTATTGTTCATAAATAATTTTAAACCCCACCAATAGAGAAGGGTACAGAGTGAAAATGGCAGCAAGAAGAAGACTTGAGGAGAATTAATATTTAAATTTAATGACATTTTTAAAAACTGTGATTTTATTTGGTGTGTCTAATTTTTTAGTTTGAAAGACAAATGTTGTTTGAATTTTCAATTTGAATTAAGATTGACTTAAATATGTAATATTTGTAGTATAGTTGTTGATATTAAAATTATGTTCAAATATTGAAGTGTAGTTGTTCATTTTATAAAATATGTTTGTCAATATTTTTTTGTATAATAAAAAATAAAAAAATAATAGCAAACAATTTAAAGGTAATGATAAAAATATTCGTATGTATTGAAAATTAATAAGAATTTGAATATTCTTACAAATTGAAAACCTATGAAAATATATTCATATATAATAATGAACTAAGAATTAGTTGTCTTGTCAAACATTGATAACATTTCATCATAATTTGAAAAATTAGAAGATCCAACACCACGAGACCCTTCATTCCTTGCATTGCGACCAGCATCAAAATACTAAAAACACAAAAATTAAACGAAAAATGATAAAAATAAAAATAAAAAACAAAAATACAAAAACAAAAACAAAAAAATTCAGAATAGAGAAAAAGAATGTCCATACTTACTTGAAACCATTTACTAGTCTCATATCGAAAATCTCTGTTCTGGTTCACTTCAGATGATTTCCTTTTTTTACCTTGAGAGCCACTTAAAACCTAACAAAAGTTAAAAGTTCGCATTATAATATTAGAAGTTCAAAAAAAATCTAAAACAGTTTTCTTGTAGAGGACTGAGAACCAGTTGATGGAAAGTAAGTTGAAGATTGATGACCAATAACCTACAGAAAATTCAAATTAATTCAGAATATAAAATTTAAAGTTCAAAATAAAAAAGTAAAAAGTTCAATATTATCAATACATTTGATAGAGGTGGCTGAGAAGCTCTTAAGAAAGATTTTGTATTTTTAGCTTGAGATCCACATACCTACAAAACATATAGTATATACATAAAAATATTTATATTAATAAATTATTTTTTAAAAATATAAAAAAAATTAAGAGTAAAGAAGTTAAATTTACAGAGGAAGGCTGGGCATTAGTTCTTGGAAATGTATTTGAAGCTTTTGATGGGGGTGGCTGAGAAGAATTAGGTACTGGAATATTATTGGATGATTGACCTTCAAAAACCTACAAAATTATCAAAAGATTAGAAATTAAAAAAAAAAAGTTCAAAATATATTAAAGTAAAATAAGTAAAAAGATACATTTCTTGAAGAAGACTGAGAAATAGTCGCTGGAAAGTTAGTTGAAGCTTGATGAGCAAATACCTACAGAAAATTCAAGATAGTTCAGAATATAAACAAAAAAGTTCAACAAAAACAAAACATAGTTCAGTAAAAAAAAATTACATTTGATAAAGGTGGCTTAGATGTTGAAAAAGAATTTGAAGCTTTTGATGAGGATGGCTGAGAAGAATTAGTTGAAGCTTGATGACCAAAAACCTACAAAAAAATCCAAGTTAGTTCAGAATTTAAAAACACAAATTCAAAAAAAAATTGAAAAAATTAAATAAAAAAATTACATTTGAAAAAGTTTGATGAGAAGCACTTGAGAAATTTCCAGAGGAAGACTGAACATTAGTTGTTGAAAAGGTATTTGAAGCTTTAGATGAGCATGGCCGAGAAGAATTAGGTCTTGGAAAATTGTTGGATGAATGACCTTCAAAAACCTACAAAATTAACAAGTTCAAAAGTTAATATCAAAAGTTCAATAGTAAAAGAATTAAGTTCAAAAAAATAAAAAAAATTTGGAAAAATAATTACATTAGATGAGATTGCTGAGTAAATTTAGTTGAAGGGTTACTATTTTTGAATCCTTTTCCATTTGAAGATTGGAAACCAGTTCTAACACCATCACCAAAAACCTAAAAATAAAAATGAAATTAAACATATATAATAGAAAAGTATAAAAAAAACAATTGAAATGTTTAACAAATACTTACATTTGCCGATGACGAATGAGAAACATTGGTCGAAGATTTACTATTTTTACTTTGAACATTCTTTCTCTTTGGAAGAACAAAGAGATTTGAACCTTGTGTTGTTGGATGTGAATAAATCAAAGGATCTCCATCATCATCTAAAACCTGCAAATAAAATAAAATTATAAGTTCTTCAATAAAAAATAACAGAAGTTCAGATAAAAAGAAAAGGGGTTCAAAAGTACCTCAACAACCAATTTTTGGACAGTAGCTCTGGCTTCATCTTTATATTTATCTACTTTCTTTTTCCAACACTTAGCTTTATTAAACGCTTTCTCAACAGTACTTTTTGGCCTGTAGTTTCTTTCACCCTTTTTCCTAGCTATTTTTGGATTATTTATGAACCCTTCTTCATCAACTTCTTCATTAGCTTCTTCACCAACTTCAACATCTTCAATATCAATTGGACCCAGCACACTTTCAACCTTTTCACGTAACATTTGAAAAGTATACTCAACTTCAGTTCTTGCTAAAAGATCTTCTTGACATGATGTCACTAACTGAACATACTTCCTAACCATTTGAACTCTCCAAACAGCAGAAGAAATAACTTTAACATCTTGACATGTATCTTCATCAGAAACATGACTACACATAGCCTTCTTAGTCCACCTCTTCACTATGTACTGTTCTGGTATCTTTTGAACACAATGAATATTATATATACGAAGAGAATGTCCACATAACAACCCCATTTCACTCCAATACTTACATGTGCAATTGATATTGAAAGTAAATTTTTCATAAGTAACTTCATGCCTAATAATGTCCTTATTTGGCCTCCAAACATAATAACAAATAGTCTCATCATCTTCATGCTTTCGCTCTTGACAACATGCAATTCCTTTAGCAAATTAATCCTCAAAAACAACATATACAGAAATAGTATAAATCTCCCTAGCGTGTTTGAGCAAACGAAAATTAGCTACTGCAAGATGATGGTTACCCCTCAAAAAACGGAAATCTTGCTTACTTTCTTTACTCCTCCACTCTGATATAACATCAAGAAAAGTACTGTAAAAGTCACTCAAACCATCTGTTTTATTCAATCTATTGGAAACAGAATGATTTGTTGTTTCACTCCTTTGGGATGACAAAACTCCACCCGAAAAATAATCTTTTGAATAAGCAGGACACCATTTCTCTTTGATATCATACAAGTGATTTAACCAATCATTTTCTGAACACTTGTATTTTGTCATCAATCTATTAAAAACAAAAAACAACAAATCAATAAACAAAATGATAATATAGTTGTTCAAATTACACCAACAAAAGTTCAAAACATAAATAATACTATTCATATGCACTTGTTAAACATGAAAAGTAAAAATGTTGAAAATAAATAATAAATAGTTCATATTAAAAAGAAGGTTCAAAACTTAATACATTTAATTCAAATATATATAATTAATGTTCAAAAAGAAACAAATCAAGTTAAATTAAATAAAATTAAGTCCGCAAATATGTAAATGCAATAGTTCAGATATCAAACAAAAAATTTTAAAACATAAACTAAAAGGTTCAAATAATATTAAACAAAGCTTACCTTGGCCAATAATGTTCAAATTCAGCTGGACTTTCACAGTACTTAAGCAAATAATCGAATACTTCTGGAAACCCTTTTAATATTCTGAGTCCTCCTATATTGGTCTTTGAATTCTCACCAAGGTGCCAAGTGCACAAACGGTGCCGGGTGCTTGGAAATATTTGTCGAATTGCTGCAGAAATTGAAGGGGCTTGATCAGTCATTAAGGTTATGGGATCTCGACATCCTCCCATTGATCTCATAAAAGCCTTAAACAACCATACAAAACTGATGGTCTTTTCATCAAGAACAAAACCCATTCCAAAAACATGACATTATTACAATGATGATTCATACCAACAAAAGGGGCACAAATCATGCCATATTTGTTAGTTCTATAGGTGGTATCGAACACCATCAAATCACCAAAAGCTTCATAATCCCTTCGCATTCTTCCATCCCTCCAAAATACACTACAAAGGGCATGATTTCCATCAACCTCAAACTCATAATAAAAGTCATTCTCCTTGGCTTGTCTTGCAGCAAAAGACTTGATCAAAGCATTACAATCACCACCTTCTAATCTGCCGGCTTTTTCAGTAGCTAAAGCGTTGTAAACATCAGTAACAGTGTAGCATAGATTAGGAGATCCACCAACTTCTTTCCTTAAAGCACGAAGAGAATCCGTAACCCTAACCCCACTAGCCTTCATAGTACTTATGAACTTCAAATGCTCACCTTGAATTTTCCTTTGAGACCTAAGGAGATGTCTTTTCTCAACAGGTATCATAGCATGATTATGATCCATATTGGCAGTCCAAACACCTTTCTCATCAATAACAAAATCAATGTAAGCTTCACAACATGTACGGTAATCCAACTTAGAATACTTCCTAGGCACCTTGGAAGAAGTATCCTTCAAACCAGCATTTGAACATAAATAATTTCTGCCTCTCCAAACACTTGAACTACCAACATATCGAACTTTCCCTTTCCTAATACTAAATCCATGCCGAAATGCATAATCATTTTACATTTTATATGCCTCCGCATCACTGTTGACTTGTTTCCACTGCAATTCAGACTTTTCACTTTCCTTATAAACAACTTCATACTTATAAACTGCAATAAACAAACAAAATGCATAACAAAAATTATTATAGTTCAAAAATAAAAGAACAAAGTTCAAATAAAAGGATAAGATGTTCATAATTACTTGTACAATTCTATATTAAAATATATATAGGATCAAAGGTTCAATAAAATAAAATAAAGATTCAATAAATAACATGACAGTGTTCATAATATATTTAAAATACTAATAATACGACTAATACGAATTATAAACAAATAATATTCATTAAATTCATCAAAAAATGATAAAATTCATCACAAATTAATAAAATACAATAAGAAATCAAAATATATTAAACAAATTCCAGAAGCTAATCGTAAATTGATCAAAAATTTAATTAGTTCATCAATTAATAAATTGAATAATACAACTAATTAAACCTAAATATTATGCAATGTTCAAAATAATATTAAAATTCATAAATCAAAAATCAAATTCAAAACACTTTGAACAAAACATACGTATATCCATCAAATTCTGGACATAAATTGTTCAGCAAGAAATCAAAAGAGGCGAAAGTTCAAAATCAAGAATTAATCAACAGATTAATCAACAAATGATGAAATTCAACACAAATTATTAGACTACTACTGCAGAATCATATTAATAAAAATCTAATAAAAAATTACAGAAGATTAAAAATAATAGATTAATGTGATTAGTTCATCAATAAATCAATAGAAAATACAACTAATAAAAATTATTCAATGTTCAGAATAATATTCAAGAAAATAACAAACCTAATAACTATAAAATAAAAAATCACAATCTCATCTCAAATATAAGCAACTAAATAAAACCTAATTATACATGAATTAAAAACAAATGATAATTATAACTTCAAATAATTAGCAATAATTAAAAGTTGCTCAAAAATCACATTGAAAAAACCTAATTAACGAAAATTAATCAAATTCAGAAATCTTACCTCCACTATCAAGAACTTTAGGCACAGAAATCAAATCCATGGCAAAAACAAGATTGAAGAACAACAAGGATGAACAAAGAAATCAACAATGGTGAGAAGAGCACTGAATTAATCGAAAAGAGAAAGTAACTAAGAGAGAAAATTGATGAGAGAAAACTAGAGGAGAGAGATAAAATTTTGAATGATAATTGAAAAGGAAATATGGAGAAATAAGGAAAGGATTGAAAAAGGAAAGAACGCAGGAAATTCGTTGAAAAAATAAGGAAAGAAACAACTAGGAAAGAAGCAGCTACGTGTCAGCGTCCTATTGGTGGTACACGTAGTTCTGTGTGCACATGGAAGGAGCTACGTGTCAGCGTCCTATTAGTGGTGCACATAGTTCTGTGTGCACAAGGGTGCATATTATAATTTGCGTATTATAAGCCCAATTCCAAGCCAAAACGAAGAAGTTGTGATCAAAACACTAAACCGGGCCTAAAACCGACACCCTTGCACTTCAACGGACATAAATTTTGATCAATAACATATTTTAATCTAATTCTAACGGAATTGGAAAGTATACATTTAGAGCTTTCCAATGATACTTCACACGCCTTAATCCAACTTTGCAATCAAAAGTTATGCAAGTTTTAAAAACGCATTTTCGTATAAGGCAAACCGCAAACCAGCACAACTCAATCAGTTGCGCGCGCAACTCATTGAGATGCGCGCGGCACCTAGCACGACTCAAAGAGTTGCGCGCGCCACCTGACGGCGCGGCTCTAAAACCCTAAAACTAGATCCCTACACTTATAAATAGGGGTCTTCGTTCAGCATTATGAAGAACGGAAAAAATCAGAATTTAAACCCTAGTATTCTCAAAACCCTAATTTCTCAACTTCTCTTACTATCATACTACTTTTTATTCTCTCTTCCCAAATACTTTCAAACCCTAATTGATTCCATTGAAGTCTTTAGAGGTACGAAGAAGAAAGAAAGTCCATAAACACATTAAAACGGAGATTTAACATAGAAGAACGGTTAGTTTCCTGAGCACTTAGATAAATCACTTTTCTTTTATTGTTTAAATAACTTTAATTGATTAATTAGTGTTGTTTGATTACTTTAAAAATACTATTAATTAATTAATTCACATAGTACTCTTTTGTTAATCAAGACTAGAATTTGAATAAATAATTGTTGTTTTATCTCTTAAGACAAGGCGAATCTTGTTTATTTATTGTTCTTTCATGAATATTATTAAATAAGAATAAAAACTTTTGCAATGTAATTCCTATGTTATTAATGCTTGTAAATAAAATCAACTAACATACTTTTAGGTATCACGTTGCGTATATTGTTTGGTAATGAAATTGTGAAAAAGGAAGAGCTAGTAGAGGTCGTACTAGGGCTAGAATAGCGATTCCTCCCTAAAAGGAACGTTATTTTAGTACCCTCGCTCCCGAACTCATTTCTGGTTTATGTAGACCAATTTGGGCATGGGTAAACTTATGATTCGTGCTAATTATTCCATAAACTCCACATAGAAGAAAGGCATGAACGAGGTTAATTAGTTTTCCTAAAACTCATTGGCGACTCCTACTTGTTTGTTACAAAAAAGCGTGATGAGAGTATCATTTCTAATTCAAGGTCTCCCAAACAGTCATGAATTTAAATCCTACTACACCCTAACAAGTGTAAAGTCCTAGGCTTTTAAATGGCCATGGGCATTTAAGGAGAGGACCCCTTACGATGCGAACCCCCTCCTTACAGAATTTTGTCGGTGTTGTTGATTTATTATATCTGAATCCTTCTGCATGGTTTGTACTTTCACTTCTTTGTGATGAAAGAATTCCTCCCGAGAAGAAATATTTATTAAGTGTTGGACACCATTTTTCCTTTAGATCGTACATTCTTTGGTACCATGCATGATTAACCAAATCAAATTTTTGTATCATTTCTTTCCATATTTCTTCAAATTCTATTTCTATCACACATCCCTTCAAGCATTTGTTGAATTTTTTTTGAACTCATTATCCTTTTTAAGGAATCCAAAATCATGTTATTGCATTTTGTTCTAAGTGCCATATACATAGCCTATGCCTTGTGTTTGGGAATACCTGCATTCAGAATGTGATATGTCATTAAATTTGAACACTTATTCTCACAACAGTGACATTTTTACTCACAAAAGTAACATTTTTACTCACATAAGTGATACTTATATTCATAGAAGTTATGAACATAAAAATGACTCAAAATGAGACTGGAATCAGTGAATATGATATTCAAATAGAAAAAGTAGTACATGCTCGATTTCATTAGCCATATCCTGGTCTTGGTCAGTGAATATGGAGGTTAGAATTTTATTTTCCATAGATTTTTTTAAAGGTTTCAAGCAACCACACAAATGACTCTGTTTTTTTTTCATTACCTATGAATGCACATGCAAACATACAATTTTTCCAATGGTTATTTATTCAAACAAAAGGAGCACATATAAGGTTATACCGATTTGTTCTGTATGATGTGTCAAATACAAGAACATCTCCGTATATTTTGTAATCCTCTAACATCATTGCATCTCTCCAAAAAATGTTGGAAATTCTACCTTCATTGTCGAATTTCACTCTAAAAAGAAGTTAGGATCTTCTTTTTGTTCTTCGATCAGAATGTTCACTAATGTCTTAGCATCTCCAGCCTCTATATGTTCCATTCTTAGTCTAGAGCTGAAATTGAGGTGATCTACAACACTATGCCCCAAGTTTTCTTCTCCATTAACTTCTGTACACATGTAATTATATGTGTCCATTGTTAAAAGTCTAGTAGATTTCATTGTTTTAATTGCTTCTGCCTTTTCTCTTTTGTTACTTCTCTCTCAGATCGATGCAAATAATGCCACTACTTTCTTGTTAGTTCATGATTATGATGTAATACATGTGACACCACCTTTAATTTTCCATCATCATTTATTTTTTCTATTAGGCTTGCCTTGTAGTTAGTTCTTCTAATGGAGACTTGTCTTGGTTTTTTTTTGTTTGAAATCCTTGTTATCTTCATCAACCATTAGAACCATATTTGTCTTCTTTGTAGCAGTATGTCTTTTTCCTTCCGCAGAACACACATAATATTTCTCTGTGACTATTCTGATCTTGTGTGTGTGCGATACCTTGTTGAGTTATTGTATGCTTTATTATTGAAAATCCCACTGTAGAAGCATGTAGATTGTACAAGTCATAAATTTCTTATAAGTGACTCTTTCCACTCCAACTAATGATCCTTCCATATCTAAACCAGTGGTATATATTGGTTTTGGATTTGTATTTGTGCATTAGTAGAATAAGAGATATTTAGAATTTTCTAGGAATAATTGTAACCAAAATCACAATTACAGCATGAACAAAATCACAAACAAGTATCTAGAGGCATGAGAACATGGGAGCAGAGTGTTATAAATATAGGTTATGCACTTAAGCATAAGCATACAGAATAAGTTATTTAGTATAGGGGTATATAATACAAGTAACTTATGTATTAATAAAGGTAACTTTTTTAATGATATTGATAACTTATGTACCATGAGACATGCATCAATGATTTACTAAATAAATATATAGTCAATGTAAATTTTTCCATAATATATGTAACTTTTTCCTTAATTAAAGTAACTTTTGTAGAATGTTACCTTCATCTTTATCTACTGGTTGTCCATTTTAATCTAATGTGTTCGGAATAACTTAATTTTCATCTTCTAATGTATTTGAAATACCTTGATTTTCTATATCTGCATAATTATTGAAAACCATATCAAAAATTTAAGCAAAAACAAACAATAGGTTTGTATTTGTTTAGATTAATACCAGGTATTTGTATTTCTGGAATTTTTGAGTTTTAAATGTTATCATCATTAAATTGATCGAGATCATCAACGAAATTCTCTGCTTCACCTTCTCGGAATGTTTGATTGAGGTTGAAACTCCATGTGTTTCTCTAGATGTTGCGTTAATGGTGGTTAATTTTCTCTTCATAGTTGCAGAAATTCTCGCATTAGGTTTTCGTAATTGGACAATCTGGAGGTTTCCGGCATTGTTGATCGAAAATTGGAGTTTGTATTGCTGCATGAAGAATCTCGAAAATTGGAGTTTTCTCTCTCCTCCATGGTTGCTTGGTGAAGGAGTTTTGAAGGAGGAAGTCGATGTTCATTATTTTGGAAAAAGGAAAAGAAAGAGAAAAAAAACATTGTTCACACGTGAGAAATTCTGTTGTACAATATTTTTACTGCACCCCGGTTGCATGTAAAAGTTGTTGGTTATAAAAACGTTTAAATCAGTTTATTTTGGTCTAAAATCTGGGTCTAATGATTGAATAGTTGGATGAGCCTTGAAAAGAGATTTCCAACGATATTTTATAAGCCCAAATCCGAGTTATAACGAATAAGTTATGGCCAAAATACTAAACTGAGTTCAAACCGAACCTAAACCCACCTTACCTACGACCCAATGATCACGTGGAGGGTCCACAAGATATAATCCCATTCAAAAACAAATTAGGATTAATTAGAAGCTTCTATAAGTTTTTAAAAGATCTTAAATATCCCTTTTGAAAAGATAAGATTAAAAAGTTTGAAATTGAATGAAACTTTTCTTTTTGAAAGTCCTAATTCTATTCGATTTGAAAGACATTCAAAGATAGTCAGATATTATTTTCGTGCCTCATATTTTTTTATCCAAATATTAAATGGTTGGATATCCCTTGAAGTTATCTTTCTAATGATATATTATAATATTAATTCCGAGCAATAACGAAAAAGATATAAAAGAAATACGAAACTCTATTCAAAACTGACACCGTCCCACTATTTCGGCCATATATTTTATTCTACAAAATATTTTAATCTGATTTTAATTGGGTTGGAAATCTGATTTTAAGGGATTTCTAACGACACATTATTTATCTTATTCCAATTTCTGGAACAAAAGATATGATAAAAACAAAAATCGTAAAAACTTCTTTTTATCTGGTTTTATTCTGATTAAATTCGGATTTTATCTTAATTCTTCG